AATTTTGAGCTGCTGATCAGTCAAAACTGGTCTGGCTGGTTTCCTACACCCTGCTAGCAAGCCATGTCTGGCCCTGAGAAAACCGGTCAGGCCAGATTCTAGAACCAGCCAGGATGGTTTTCCTGTTCTAAGACCGGGTTGGATCTAACCTGATAAAAAATTAATTTTTGTTGTGGGCAACTATGGATTTTGTTTTGGTGATGTTTTCTATTGGGATAAGATTACCCCTCATCTATATATATATTAGATGATCATGACCAATTGAGGATTCTAATAACTTCCGATCATCAAAAAACCAATCTACTACTCTTAACTCCTAACCCTATCTCTTCCAACCTCTGTTGTTCGCCACATCTCTGATCTCTCGATGAGATTTGATGGTGCTCTAGGTGGCCTTGCTAATCCCAGTGCAACCTCGTTGTGCCCTTCCCCGACAGGTCTTCCTGGAAGGTGTTCAGAAGTCTATCAAGTGAAGAGCGGGCCACTACCACAATCTTGAATTACCTTGAGTGCATGCAAAAAACAACCAAGGAAATAATCCTTGGCCACCAACTATCAAGCATAATCCGTCAAGGATAGCGGATAAGAAAATTTAGTTTTCCTTGGTGTTTTTGGCAATCAAAGATGATTTCCTTGGAGGCTGGCTGCCAAGGTAACTAGGATCACACCTATTTTGCCAAAGCAACAAGAAAATGTTCCAACCGTCAAGTAAATTAGTTTACTTGAGGGCTAGCAACCTCCAAGGAAATATTCCTAACTGTCAAGGAAATTAGTTTTCTTGAGAGCGAACAATCTCCAAAGAAATATAGAGCAAGAGCAAACTTGAGGGCCAGCAACCTCCAAGAAAATATTTCTAACCGTCAAGGAAATTAGTTTTCTTGAGGCTGAAAAACCTCCAAGGAAACACAGAGCAAGAGCAAAAAAACATAAATCAACAAAAGCCCTTTCTCATGCTGACTCATGGGAATCAAATTAGTTTTCTTGAGGGCGAACAATCTCCAAGGAAATATAGAGCAAGAGCAAACTTGAGGGCCAGCAAGCAAGAGCAAAAAAACATAAATCAGCAAATGCCCTTTCTCATGTGCCTCATGGGAATCGAACCTGTGTCCACCTCCAAGTAACTTGAGACTAAGTGAATTATTCTTTTCTTTTGTATTCACTTTATTGAATATTGTAATAAATATTTGAAACCCTAAACAATTTCAAATGTAAAAAGTTTGAATTGAAAAGTTTAAGATCTCGTCAAATATTATAACTTTTGTTTAGGTTTAATCTCCATCCGAGGTCATTTGGAAAATTCAAAAAAATGAATTTTAAAGCTATGAGAATTTCCTTTGGGGATGCCAATTACACCCAAGAAAATATGAATTATCTTGGTGGTTTCGAATAGCACTCAAGGAAATACGAATTACCTTAGTGGTTTCGAATAGCACCCAAGAAAATAAGCATTATCTTAGCGGTTTATAATAACATTCAAGGAAACACAGAATTACCTTGGCGGTTTGGACTAGCACTTAAGGAAATGAGCAATTACCTTGGAGTGTCAAATTTCGGGTATTTTGGAATTTTAGGAATTTTGGATAAAATTTAAACAAGTTCAAATTGATTTTTTTAAAAAAAATTGGCCTCATTTTGCTAGAAAAAGCCCTCTTATCCATCGTGCAGCATAAATTTATATCATCCCGACAAAATAACACAATATACTCCGTATCACATAAGTACAGCAGCGATAAATACGACTGCTGATGGTAGACAAGCTGCATATGCAAGTGCCGATTGAATGTATGAGTGAGTAAATTAAATAGGTTTGAAGAAATTGAGGTGCTTTGGTGAGGCTATATGATATGGAGGGTCATTTTAGTATGGTTTGGTGTAATTTTAGAGTAAAATATAAATTAAACTGAAAATTTTGACTGATATTAAAAAATTTCGGACCCAACAAAAAAGACGATGTTTCGGAAATTACGGTGAAATTTTGCCGAAACTGTAAACCCTGCTTCCAAGAACTACCTTCTATGTTGTCCGTAGCGGATTAGTACTAGTAGACAAAGGTATACGTGAAATTCACAACAGTACGAGGTTTAATTTGTTTGGTGCCGGCGCGGCAACACGTTTCGTGGAGACCATATGCATGATCGACCAGTGGCAGGCTTGCACCAAACGAGGACGGAGTTGCTGACTGCTCCGTCGTCATCTTCTACGCCCGTCTTGACATTGGCGGATTGGCCACCTGCTCCATCGTGTTCCCGCGTCGCGTGTCGTGTCGTGTATAGATGCAACACACATATATATACATAATAATATGCAACCTGCATGCGCAAGTCAGTGTGAGTCAATCAAGAGGAACGTAGCGCAGAACGCACCGGGTCTTGGCCGCCATGCATCCAGCTCGCCTTCTCTGCTCGCTCCTCGCCGTCGTCACCACGACCACGGCGCAAGTGGTAGTCAACACTCCGACAATAGCCCGTACGCGAAGAACCTCGCCGAGCTCCTCTCCGTGCTGTCCGGCAGGTGGTGTATGGGGATGGCGCAGTGCACCAGGGACCTGCCGCTCAGCGAGGGCACCAGCTGCCTCGTCGACAACCTCGCCGTCATGTACAGGGACATGAGCGTCACCAACGACAACCTCAGGTACCAGTTGAACAAGCCTATCGACATCGCCGGACTGGCCCAGCCACCGTCGCCGCCGGCGCCGCCCACTGCCGACGAGCATCCAGCAGGTCGCTCATCAACGTCCACAGTAGAGAAACAACTTTCGGTTTGCACCCTTTAGTTTCGGTTGTCATGGGGTTCGGGACTAATGTAGTCCCGGATCTAATGTGAGCACCGAATGCCCTTTATATCTAAAACCTACATGCACTAAAAGCCATCTTTTTTTATCACGGTTGGTAACACCAACCGGGAATAAAAGCCATAATTTAGTCCCGGTTGGCTAAAGGGTGACATTTTAGTCTTGGTTGGTAACACCAACCCGGACTAAAGGTCTCCCACCTGAGACTAAGAGTCCCTGTGGGTGAATTCAAAAAGAGAGTGTACAGGACTTTTTCACATGTGGTGTGCAGTTGAGTTGGTAAGAAAGCTACGCGCAAGTTAAGGGATTTTAGATTCGAATCTCACCCACCGCAAGAGAGGTCTCCTAAAATTTAAAGTATTTTTTTTTAATTCTGATGATAGGCTTTTGTCCCGGTTGCGTGACCCGAGACTAAAGATCCCGGCCTTTAGTCCGGATCCACAATCCCGGTTAGAAAACCGGGACTAATTAAAAGCCAGTTGCCAACGGGATTGAATCCGACCTGTGTACTAGTGGTCTTTAGCTAATGCATGCGTCCTTGTTATTAGTGATTAATTACAATGCTCACTGAATTATAGTGTATTCGCATGCATGCATTTGATATCCTCATCTCTTTTGTGGATTAATTATTCAGCGCTGCTGGTCGGCAAGACGATGCTGGTCGCCGCTCTGGCACTGGCTGCCGGCGCCATTATTACACTGTTCAATGCATAATTCCTCATGCATTGATGAACTCATCATATATATGGTCATATGATCTATGTCGTAGTATATCTGAATTGTTTGTGTTTGTTTCATTCCTATTGTTTGTGTTTCTTTGTAATCCCGTTGTACAGCTGCATGTAGATGCATGTATTTCACTATTTTGCACCGGGTAGAACCTCGGGTGGATGGAGACATGTATGCCCAGTCCACACCGTGGCCGCGACTCGCTCCAAATTAAATTAAAGTCCATGTATGCACGTTTTGATCCTAAATAAGAGCAAGAAAAACGCATGGCAAAAACTAGAACTATTACTACTGCGAGTTTACGGTGTCATTAGTCTGTGTAGAATTACTAGGGGGTTTCATGGGGCTGTTTGGTTCCCCACCGAAGTTTGTCACGCCAGGCATGCGGCAGCCACAGAAAGCTGGCTGGTTGGTTTGCGGGTAAACTATGGCAGCCACAAGCTTCTTAAGTTTATTTTTTGTGTTGATTCTTGCCACAGCTGTGGTGGCCATTTTCTCCACTTTGCCTTGGGTGGCGCCACAATTGGCGTGGCTGGCGCTGGCCAGGGAGGCAGGGACCAAACAGTCCCTCTATCTGCTAATTTTTTTTTCGCAATAAGGGTTTGTGCCTGTTACTTGAGGTCTGTAACCTGCATGCTGCTTCACTAGAAGCCTCCGTTCGTCACTGCTATGTGGATGGTACTGCAGGCACTGTCACTATATTTAAATTCAAAAGAAAAAGAAAAGGTACCATGAACAACGATAGCTAGTAAATCGAAATAATTTCAGGCCAATAGCAGCATTTTGCTAGTGCAAGATGCCGAATTCCTGAATAATGGTGAAGGGAGGGAGCTATAGTCGATACATAGCAGGGGTCTACAAGGGTAACTGACTGTTCAGTTGGATCACATCCTCGCTAGCCTGCCTGGACGATAACTAACTTTTCCTTGGATAACTGCCACACGGTAAGTCTGATCTGAAGAAACATTGAACTAGTTCTGCAGGAAAGTTGGGAGAATTTTAGGGGTGATAAGTTAAGAACAAATGTTCAGTCACCGTGAAACAAGGAGGACTCGTTTCACTCTGTTTATTACTTCAATTTGTGTGCCAACATCGAATGGAATGATAAGTAACCCTTTATTCACCACTACTACACACGACAAAGAATTGCAACACGTACGCGCCACCAACCAAATCATCAAAACACAAAGCTAGAACAGCTGGGATACACTACACCACATCAGTTTACTCTCCGCCCTCGTGCTGAGGGAGAGAGACGGATGATGATAACAATGCAATGGCGGCTCTTGTAAGATTAAGAACGACTCGACTAGTAGTGATTGAGAGCAAGAAGCATGGGTGTCAGACATGAGTATAGAAGTATGTGGCGCAAGCCCGGCAGTATCGACCTCCCGGCGTTGCCGTGGCTGGAGCCTGGAGGACGATGTGGACTCGAGGCTGGTGCCCCTGCCCCCGCACTGCCTGGACTTGCTGCGCCCCGTCAGGAGACGTATTTGCAACTCCCGTAACCTGCAATATAATCCAGATTCAGATACGCCATGATAATAATATATATATATCAGTTGCAGTTCAGAGATCATGCAGGTCAGATTGGGAACTTACTGGGGTCACTGGAGGTGACCTCGCCGGTGCCCTTGAAGTCGCAGTCGTAGTCGTGCTGGCCGTTGGCCTGGTAGAACGCGTTCATCACGTACGAAGCATGTGACTGCACGTTGTTGGGGTCCAAGCACGCGCCGCCGCTCTGGATCGGCTTACAGTCGACATAGCCACAGGCGTAGTTGATGTTGTTCTGCAGGTCGGTTGCGTTCGCGCCGGACTTGGCCACACACCACTTGCCTCCGCCTGACGGCGAGGGGTTTGGTGACGGGTTGGGACTTGGCTTCGGAGATGGATTTGGCGATGGGTTTGGAGATCCAGACTGCAAAGCCAGATAGAAGAAATGAGTTGTCAGCATCAGAGTGGAACAATCCATTTGTCCGAATAAAAAAAAATAGAAACTGAATGCACTCATATGAGGGTGAGGCTAAGCATCATTTCTCCAATCAAAATTCCCCTGGTATGAGTTTGAAACTCTGAACCGAGATATGCTCATATGCACACTTGGTCCTTATTAAATCAATTCTTTGTCATAACTTTTTTTTTGGGTAAACTTTAGCCTGACAAGACTCTGCAATTATACATATGACTTTAGCATGTGACGAGATACAAACACACGCTCTCTGCAGTCTGGAGTCAGTATTGGCACCAGCCAAAAGGCCAAAATATGCCCTGCCCAACTTGATCGCACGCCTAAGATTCTTGAGTCAGTCACTAACACAATGTCCTCCCAGCAGAATGCTAAAGAATGCAGACAGCCCCACCTTCCCCACATGGTGGTGCACTTTGCCAGGGCATCAGCAAAAGCGACAAGCTTGAAATCGCTGCCCCTGCCTCATTGTTAGATTGGGCGAGTGGGGAAACTACTCTACTCTCATATGCGCACCAGAGTACATAGCTCAAGCAGAATAGAGAGCTACGATGTTCAAAAGCTTGAGATAATGCGTAGGAAGCTATAACGGTACGAGAGAAAGAGGGAAACGCCCAGCCACAAAGGTGGTGCCTGACTTGTTGGCAGCGATGACCACCCACTGAAGAATCCTCAGCTGGAAGCACACGGAAAGCATTCCAAGTAACAAGCTTTTAGGGGTACATTCATTCAGAATCTAGAGACCATCTGCTTTGCTTGCATGTAGCTACTTGTGCATGGATGAAACCGTTGTATAACCGATTGGATGAATGAAAAAGAAACAAAAGTCACGCCAATGGATATGCTCATGTTTCGTGTATACTCGTACAACCCAAGTCAGGACCTTCTGAGCACCATGTGGTGCAGTCTAGCGGTGGACATCTGGATATAGGCTCTACACAAAGTAGTTTGGCACTAGACCCTTGCATACACCTTAAGAACCTCCAGCAAACCAAGGCAAGAAGCAACCGGAAATGGGAATCAGGCTCAACCAATTTATTCAATATAGTACAAGTTTGAAGGTAGTATTGTGCAGTAAATTGATAACCATTTTTCAGATAGCTGACCCCCAGTTTGTTACAGTCGTAAGTACTATGGTAATAGGTACGGTAGCATGTAAAAATAAGAGAACTACCCTGTGCCAGCTAGCATTAGCAAAGCAAGTATACAGTATTTGGTACGACAGCGTGTCACCAAACACGGGTAGCAAGCAACGTGTGCACAAAGGAGTACGTAGATCTGATCAGAGGAGTATACTAATAGCAGCAAGCATAGAGAGATTGCAGAGGTGTCAAAAGCCTGAGCTGCACATGGGCATCCAGCGAGAAAAATAAAAACGACAAGCAAAGCATCCGGGCTGAAAGGAAACGTTCTAATCCTTTGACAACTATAGTACTAGTAGATTACAGATGTCATCATGGTGGGGAGATGGTTGGGAGAAGAAAAGTTGGAAACGAAAGCAACGCTTTTCCAGATGGGGCGGCGGTCCTCCGGTCCACGCGGCATGGCTGCACAGTGTGAACACAAAAACCAAACGGAGCGCCTGCCATTTCAATTCTTCCTTCGATTCCATCCCATCAGCAGCGGGTGCTGATTGCTGAAATAGAGGACCACCCGTGAGCAGCCTCCCAATCAGGCATCAGCACACAGCAGTGATGAGTGTTCCTTCCAGTGACACGCACACGGAAAGGATGTACATCTGGTCTGAGTAGTAGTACAGCACAGCTTGTGACGTTTCCGTGCTAACTTTAATTTGTTCCCCAACGGTCGGATGCATACTAGTATACGTGTGCTGTGCTGTGCTTAATTAAAGCAAGAGGGCAACCACTGGATGCAGGGTTACCCACTGTCAGTGGCGACAAGAAAAGAAAATTCCAACTGGTTTTTCGCTAAAACCAAAAAAAAAAAGAATAATAAAACGCTGCTATCTTCGAGACATCATCGTAATGTGAACTTATGACCTCCCTGAAGACCTGTGCTTGAACCGGCAAGCGCGACCCTTTGACGCTTTGACCCCACGCCGCGGTTTCGTTTCTGAAACCGCGTCCAATCTGCGGCCTCCCTTTCTTTTCCACAACCATACTACTACACGCGTGCATTCAATTTTTGGCATCGAGCTAGCAAGTTCTACACTCTTCCTTCCAAGTAAATCAATTTCAAATTTTTACGATTTCCCCCAAAATTGAATCCGAACATTAATCAAAGAAATCGAGCAGGTTTTGTGGACCGATAAATAATTGCAGCAGATTCGTCCGTCCGTAATGAATGAATATTCGAATGAACCAAGCAGAGAAAGAGATCGACAAACAAAATGAGCGAGAGCAGAGTAATAGCAGCACAACTCACCGATCCTTGGCGGAGGAGTCCGAGATCATACTTGGGCGTGAAATCCGTGTTGAAGATACCGAAATTCCGCTCCGCAATCGGCCCCGGCTTCTGGTTCTCATCAAACAGCGAGAACACGTACGTCTCGAAGGTCCTCCCAGGCATGAGCGGGGTGCCCTTGCCGCCGCTGCACACCCGTATCATCCCGGCGTTGAAATCTCTCGCATCCTCGGGTCCAACCCCGACCTGCCCGGCCTCGCCCTTGGTGGGCCACCCGGCCTCGCCCACCGCGATCTCCACGCCGGCGCCGTACCCGAGCCTCTTCATCGCCGTGTAGATGGCGTCCATCTGCGCGTCGAACATGCTCGTGTAGTTGAGCTTCGTCCCGGGGTCGTACACGCCGGCGTTGGGCCGGAACACGGCGTAGTTGAGCGTCGCCGCGTTGTAGCTGAAGTACGGGTACGCGTTCACCATGAACGGCGACCCGGTGTCGTTGTGGAACTTGAGCATGGGGGCGAGGATCTTGGTGTCGAGCCCGGGGCGGAACCGCGCGTTGGACGGGATCCCGTCGGAGGGCGCCAGGATCCCCAGGTAGTGCGGCGTGGTGACGCGGACGCCGGGGAGGTTCTCGAGCTGGAGCGCCTGCGCGAGGCGCCGCATCGCGGGGAGGAGCGCCACGACGAGGTCGGAGACGACGATGGGGCCGAGGACCTCGTTGCCGGCTAAGAGGAGGGTGACGTTGGCGCCCGCGGCGACGTGCGGGGACAGGTTGTCGCGGACCCACCCGCGCGCCGCGTCGAGGCCGGCGGATCTGTCGGCGAAGGTGGGGAGCAGGGCGTTGGGGATGGAGACGGCGAGCGAGATGGACGGCGCGTTGGCGGCGAACGCGTCCAGGAAGGCCGGGTTCGCGTCGAAGAGCTTCACGCGGTCGATGGTGGTCTTGGTGGCGAGGAAGGACGCGACGGCGGCGGGGGACGGCAGGTTGTCCGCGTTCGCGCCGTAGTTGACTCCGATGGGCAGCGACGGGAGGCCGCCGCCCTGGGCTGCCGCTGGCGACAAGCCATGGAGGAAGGCGGCGAGGAGGAGGGGGAGGAGCATCGGGAGGCGTGCGCGCGTGGCCTCAGCTGTTAGTGCCCCCACTCGTGGTTGGTTGGATTTGGCCTTGGTCTCTCTGCTCTGCTCTGCTCTTGGGAAGGGAGAGAGCAGGACGTGTTGGTGGCGGATGGATGGATGGACGGCCCGTTGTGGTGTGGGTTTTGAAACCTCTGCGCTCGCCGGCTCCAGGCTGCTGCTGCTAATTCTTTAATTATTAATTAATGCCGCTTGCCTAAAGCCCGGCCCGATTTTGTGGCTGGGTCATCGCAACGTGAGAGGTGCTCTGTCCGGCAGTTTCCTTTCCTGTCGTGGTCTGCCCACTCCTGCTGCTCTGCTCTTCTTGCTTCGACGCTTCCTCTTGTTTTTATTTAGATTTTTGTTTCTCTTTTTGTGCTACTGAGAATGTTTTCTTTTGTTGTATAATACGCAGTATTACCGTATACTACATACATTGTAGGCATACATTCTACCAGTAGGTTGACACTTTTCAAATAAGGTGGTGGCTGCAAAGAGAGAAAAAAAGACAACACGTACTAGAAGTAAATTAATTATTAGTGATAGAAAAGATTCCATTTTCCCTCCTCGCTTTAAATTCCTTATTACAAACTTTATCTACCTATCTTTTTTGTACTACTATAGGAAAAGATTAGGCAAAAGGTTTGCATGTTCAGGAGCGGTGAGAAGACCAAGCGTGAGAAACGAGCAAGCAAGCGCCCAAACTAAATAAGGAGTCATGTTTGCTGGGATACGTTCCTTCAATTGTTACGACGATTTGCTATATCTTTTTTTATATATATGAAAAATAAAAGAAAAAGGCACCTGCTCTGGAAAGGTACACGACGATGGCATATTATCCTGTGTTGTCTTGTTGTATCAAGGCTTTGCTTTCTCTTTGGGATTTATATATATTTGACCCATTATAATAAAATCAATCAAACAGAAATACAGTACTACGGTTTCGGCACTACTATCGACCGCGTGAAGCTCTTCGAGAATGGATTGGAAGGAAGGAAGCAAGCAAGCAAGCGACGCACGGGGCCGGGCGACGGTAGTCTAGACTAATCCGTACTCTGTGTCCATGGTCAAACACACACACCGGCGCTTGCGACGTCTCCGCAGCCGCGTCGTCCGTCCGGGCCAAGCCCGTCAAAACACCCGGCCCAGGCCAGCCGCGGTTCCTTCACAAATCCAATCCAGTCGCTGAATCCACCACCCGTTTTTTGCTTTGCTGCCACCTACACTTCTTTGCTGTGTTTGCTTCAGCTTCAACTCCAACAAGCACCACTCGCCTCTTTCTTTTCTTCTCTTTTTTCTTCATTTATTTTATTTACGGCTGCTACCGGCACGTTGAATTGGCGGCCACTGGCAAGTGAGGAAACAAAATGCTACTACATCAAATGTAGGAGTACGTACGTATGTACTATACCACCGTACTAGTACTACTAATTATAAAAGCATTGTAAACGGTGCGAAATGCGTGCCAACAAACCACTCGTGCTCTCATTTTAGGCAATGTCTCCTTAGATGCTTTCAGTTTTTTAGTGTTAAGACAGAGCGAGGCCAAAAGGTCTCAGGAAAGTTCGCCTGTCTGGTTGGGTTAGTGCAGGCGTGGGACGGCAAAAATAAATATTCGAAAGCTCCCAAAGTTGTGTTGTTTCTGAATCTCGATCCCTTTATTCCTGTGTCGAAATTGGTATAATTTCCTTTTCTTTTGGAAAGGGAAAGACAGGAAAGAAAAGATTCACTAGTTTAAAAAAAAAACGTTTGCGAGGGCAGCGTGTCATATATTCGTCTTGTTCACGCAGATTTGCTCTCTTTTGTGCTTCAAAATAATTTTGCATGCGTCTCGAGGACCAATGGTCGTAGGAGTACTACTAGTAATATATAGTCCCTATCCTCCTCCTGTGTACATAAAATCGTGTGAAAAAGAAGAACAGAAAAACGTGTGAAAAAAGAACACCAGGTGACACAAGAGAGGGATTGCCGAGTCAGTGAGTGGTGTTTAGCCGTTTACTGCTGCTTTGCCCCATCCCCATGACACCGTGAGTCGCTTGCTCCTCCCTTCCCTCACGTGCCGTCAGCGTGCAGCAGACCCGCCTATCGCCTACGCGTGGGATCAGGGGATGGGATGGGATGGGATGGGCACACCAGCTAAAAATGACTCACCGGAACAGACCAATCACCCAACCGCAATCCATTTGTTCATCCTGCATTTCCTTTCTGCTGTGCGCGCTGAAACAAACGGACCAGAGAACACATCACAGGCAGCTGCTACGCTCGCCTGAACACTTGCCGCTTCCTTTGGCCAGGCCCAGCCCGTCCACACACACAGATATCCACCCATGCTGCAAAAATAGAATCCATTCTCAACTCTTAAAGTCTTGATAACATTGCACAACGATTCCAGTCATCATTCATTAACCTAAAACAGCAGCAATACATCCAGAACAAATACCACAAGTACCATACCACAGGAGAGTCTTCAATCCCTCAGACACATACAAAGACTACCATACAAAACCGTCTCCACCCACCGACACGCCATCCATTTCCATCCATCCATTCACTCTTTCCGAGCAACCAACCACCGGACTTAGCCCACATACACGGGAAAATAAAAACAGAGCCTAGCAGCAGAGAGATAACAAGAGTCTGGCAAACTGCCCCAATCAGCACAGGGGGCCAACTAATCTGTGCCCACACCCTTCAGTTCCATCGCCACATTCATCAGCCGCTGATGGCAGGCGACGCAGACCTTGACCTCGACCCTGGAGGCGACATGGACGCTGGCCGGGGTGACCTACGGCGACCGCGCCGAGGCTCCTCATCCTCCTCGCCTGCTGGGGACCTCTTCCTCCTGTCATCAACATATAACAAGTGATGTTACTACTATTCAACAGAAACACCTATCTGAAGCAGCTACTCCTGCTGTATACATATAATGAATTGTATATTTTACCATATAAAAAAACATCCAAAATGAATGCACCAGATGAAGCTACTTATATCAAACAGCAACCATACAGTATGGACAAACAAGTGACTCGAGCCTACGTATCCTAGGCCCAAGATTCTAACTGGGAAACAAAAAGAGCCTTCTCCCTGCCATGATGCAGTTTGACTCTCAAGACAATGCAAAGAATGTGCCTGAATATACATGTAGATGTGCAAGTGTACAAGGGATTTCCACCATAATATTGCTCAGGAAAGGCATTTCATGTCAAGTAAGCTTTACACGATCATTCAAACAAATAAAGACGCTATTGCTCAAAGATATACCACCCCCTGTTCCAAATTATAAGACATTTTAGTTTTTCTAGATGCATTGCTTTTACTATGTATTTAGACATAGTGTATATGTAAGTGCATAGTAAAAGCTATGAATCTAGAAAAGCCAAAACATATTACAATTTGGAATAGAGGAAGTACAAACTTAATGAAGGCCCCATTCCCTGATATCCTCCACAAAGGACCACTTCTCATTTCTTGCTCAAACAAATGTTCAATGTAATAACCCTAATGATGTTGCATGTTACAGATTGGGAAAAATATTGCTCAATAAAATAACCACTCAATAGGACGCACAACATTGCTACTTCAGAACATAATTAGATGGCATAGACATGCACCAACAGTGAAGGAACAGAACTTACTCATCATGACCGTTGTCTGTACCACGGCGATCATTTCTGTCATCAGGAGTATAGGATCTCCTCTTCTTATCCCTGTCATTTTCTTTAGGCTGTTTTGATGACCTTGGGTGCTCTTCCTTTGCCCTTGGTGGGGAAGCAGAGTAGTCATCACGCCTTTTTGGGGCAGGGGAGTATGACCTGTAGTATAAGGTAACATCATTTCAATGAAGGTTACTGCACTGGTACATCATGGTTGGTCCATTACTTATTCAAAGAGACTCAAGACACAGCAAACATACTGTGATCTACCACGGCCACGGGGGCGTGGTGAGCGGGAACGCGAGTATGAACGAGAACGAGACCGTCCTGCACATAAGGAAAGGTAGCAACTTGTCAGTGCTCAAACAACTTCCGAAACCGTCAATTTTCAGTACACATTTTGCCACCAGCAGATGCAACCTTCAAACAGCCAAATAAGATCCAAGGACAATGATACAACAGAATCGCATGAACGCCAATCACGAAACTAAAATGGACCCCCCCAACTATCTTCCAGTTGATCAAACAGCAACAGTTGAACATGAGAAGGGTAATTTTTTATAAGATATTACGATGCATACTAAAGCATTCATCCATGCATCTCAAATAATAGGACTAACAAAGCAAATAACTTAGATTACCATGGCGATAAGGACGACGCCCTTCATGACCAGAATAACCTCTGCAGAGATACAACTCAAGTCATTTCAAATGAAACACAGATAGCGCTTCGAGAAAACCAGTGCTTATTGGCATACCTTGGCCCAGTTCGTCTACGCATGTCCTCGGGCCTTTTCCTTGTATCCGCAGCAAGTACAACAGTTATTTCACGCCCAGCAAACATCTGACGGTTCATGTGGTACTGCGCCTCAGAAGCGTCATAAGCATCAACAAACTCCACAAATCCAAACCCCCTTGGCTCCCTGAATGATCACAAAAGCCTTCATAAGTAAAATTCACAAAGTATGGTACTGGTAAACAAGGAAGAGGGCACATAACGAACATAAATAGTATGTGCCTCACAAGTTACTACCAGGGATTCATATTATGGTGAATCATTTATAGTTCTCCATAGAGCACAGCTAACAACTTACAAACATGTTCATCAAATGGTAGCAAGCCTCAAAAAGTGGTTAGGAGCCCTTAGATCCAAAATTTCTTGTATACATCTTCATAAAGTGATTTGCTTCAAGTTCTTCGAGTTTGAAAAGTCATGAAAAGTGCTTGAGACCAACTTGTCTTCATTATATCTTCCCATGGAAGACACGGTAAAACCCGCTTCTCTTCAGGAAATTAACAAATCGAATCTTGTCTTGATAAAAGAACTTCATT